TCTCGCTTCATCGATTATTTTTGGAGCCACAATATGAATTAAGGTTTTTCCATCTCTTGCTTACATTATGTTTTTCGATAATATCAATGCCATTTCGAGAAAAATAAATAAATTGCTTGAAAAGATTGATTTTCAACTCGATTTTCAGATCCAGTCCAGCGTGGACTGTGTGGCGGTTCACTTCTGTCTGTCCGAATCAGCAGAGACCACCGAATCGGCCACTCTTCTGCGATCACTGGCTGGCCAGCTAACGAAGCGCTTTCCGAATCTTGTCCTGCCGAAACTCTCCACTCTCACTCTGCTAGCCGACTATGACCATGCCTTGGAGCAGTACTTCACGCTGCCGTTGGCGTCACTGCCTCGTCCTGCCAAACCGTTGTTCATCCTCATCGACAACATACTGCCACATATCTACGATCTAGTGTTAGCGGTAAGTGGATGCCATTTCTTGCGCTTTTCACAGAGACACTCCGGAAGTTTATTGTCAAGGAGCTGACAGCGGTGTTGTTTACGAGTGCCAAGGATCGCCTCTCACTTATGAAGAGGCTTTGTTCCGGTGCACAAGGGCGCACTAGGGCAGCTTGGCTGGGCTAGATGTCAGCGCGATACGGTTTGTTGAGTAAACAGAGTGAGATAGATCTCGGATTTCAGCAGGGACTTTCGCCAAGCTAGCTTAGAAAAAGCGCAAAATAGTTTCTAAAAAATGCGTTATATGAGGGGCGGAACTTTTGCCTTCTAATTGAACTTTACAGATGGTGTAAATATAATAATTAGCGCAATGATCGAATACTTTTTTCCGTGAGGTTTCTCCTCCAATCGCTTGTAAAATCACAATATAAACCTCTGAATGCCTAAAAAATCAGAATAAATGTTGAGAAGCTAGTATTTTCAATTTCCTATGGTATTTCTGGAAAAATCTTTGTTTATCTACAGGTTTTCACGGCGTTCATGTATTGTGTGTATGGGAAAGGATGGAGGGGAGGGCTATTTCAGGCTAAACAAAGCCCCGAATAGATCTAGAATTCACTGGGTACCTGGGGGTGCTTCGATGCATCAGATTTTTCTGGAAACTCCTGTGGCACATGTTCAGTATTCCGAAGTTTATATTACGGAAAGACGGTTTCCGATGTCAATGAATATATGTTTTTGTTTTT